TTACCAATGCTTTTGGCAATGATAGTATCATGGGAATCAATTATTTAGATTTTTTCAAGTTCTTCAAACCTCTTAAGTTCTAGCAGTTAATTACCCAAATAAACTTTTTATGTTATCCCCAAAGAAATGGAGAATTGAACCTACCTAAGGAGTAATCCGAGTGCGAGGAGGCTCCTGAGCTACAGTTCAGCCATATTGAGACATGTGGTCATGCTTAAAGCCAATATTCAAGACATATAATTAGTGATTGAGTAATACACAATCTCAGAATAATAGAAAATATCAACAAGAACGAGCACACGTGCATGAAATTTACCTTGGACCCATGGGTTGAAGCAGGCCAGTGGTACAAAGGATTAAGACTATAAACTCTTTCAAAACAGGGATCTGTTGATAAAATATTGATGAATAAAAACATAAAAATTGCTCAATATGGCGTTTTTGAAAAGAATAAAATCTTTTGTTATATTCATTTTACAACATGCATTTTTTAATAAGAGCTTGACCAAATGTTAAACACGATGGACTGGAAGAAGAACTTACAATAACACAATGCTGACATCTACTCAAAAGGAAAAGACTTTACGCATTCAGTAGTTTTAACATTTTATAAAAACATTAACATAAACCACATGCTTTTTAACAGAAATCAGAAAATGAAAAATCATAATTTAGACAAATAAACACTGAAATTGTTCAACCTAACACATACGTCATACTACTCTCGAAATCTCACAATACTCCAGAAAATTCACATCCCAACTTCAAGTAATTATTACTGTTTAACAGATATGAATTGGAAACTGAAAAGCATCAAGTACAATCTGTGGGAATATCATTACCATTACTGATGTTTGTGTTTGCGCTGAATGTGCTTTCGTGCTCTTTCGAGTCTGCCCAGCTCCAAAGCTAAACTGTTGAGGAACGTCAAATGAGGGCCGTGAAAAAAATTGTGGTAGTACTAATGTTATTGAAAGAAGGAACACAAAAAATAAATAAACCCAACAGGAAGGAAAAAATGGCAACCGAGATTAAAAACATTCAAAACTCACCAAGTATAGATCTTACCGTAAACACAGTACATTAGGTTCATAGGGAATTCGATCTAATCGGCGCCATCGACGAAGTTCTTGTCGGTAATATCAAAAAAAAAAAAAAAATTGAGTCAAGAGATTGTCTAGAGCACCAAGCAGTAGCAGAAAGGATGAAGAAGCTTGAGTTTGGAGATCCAAATGAAGAATCCAACCTCAATTTGGAAATAAAATCCCAAAAATTAATCAAATAAATCTGAATAAAACCTAAATCGAAGCTTCGAAGTTACCTCAAAAGAGGGATTTATCTGCGGAAATTTCGAGGTGTGTAGAAATTTTTGACTGCTAGGGTTTGATCGTAGAAGAAAGGGAAATGGTAGAAGACAAAAGCAAAAGAGGTAGGATGTAAAATAAGAGAGAAGATAAGAAGAAGAAGGCGGTGGAGTGAAGAAGAAGGCGGTGTGTTTGCGGAACCAGTTCAGGTGTGAGAAAGACGCACGAGATGAAGGAAAGGTGAGGTCAGATATAAGGGTACAATGGGGAAACAAAAATACTTCAGGAATGAACAGTGCAGGGCATAATTTAACCCCTATTTCTTCGCCCTGTGTGTTAAGGATTTTGATTCTTGTTATAATCATGAATTTAATCCTCTTTTTGAATCATTATTGGAGGCTGAAGTTTATAGATTAAGATCTTCACCTCCTCCGAAATTGAAGTTCTTGAAAGATGCAGAAGATAAGCTATTTAGAAGATTGCTAATAGAAGAACCTAAGAAAAAAAGGGCTGGGGTTTCAAATTTGAGTGAAAAAGAAAAGAATGGTTATTTTCTGTCATTTATAAATAAGAGGCATAACAAAGAATCACATGTACTTCCATTGGCTTCTTCTCCAACATTCAGACCACAACTTGGAAAAAATCAGCTGCAAAGTAGAATTTTTTTTTTCCTCGTTCATTTTTCTTTCATCTGTTAATTCAGGTTATAGAGCGTTTTGAAAAGACCACAACAGCTTAGGGCCAGAGATTAGATCTGCTTTAAAAATTTATTACTAAATCACCAAGATGATTTATCTCTTTACTATAACCTTTCACCTATTACACCTCCTCAAATGCAATAGCCACTTCCCCAGGCACAGCATACCATATCCCTCTTCCGTCACACCCCTGCAAGAGAAGAATACTCCCAAAAAATTGAACCAAATCA